TCACCAGACCTTCAGTGCCAGATTGGGACTACTGAGACATCCAGCCTCGTGGACTGAGCGACTATGGATTCTCAGCCTCTCCAGTGTGGTGCAGCCATTGTTAGACTACTCGGACTCTATACTGTGAGCTAAGCTGATAAATCTCTATACACATATTCATTCTACCAGTTCTGTTTCTTTGGAGAACCTTGACTAATACAGATCCCCTGGAACTGGAGTCACAGATGGTTGTTAGCTACTATGTGGGTGCTGGGAATCGAACCCAGATTCTCTGCAAGAGAAGTCAGTGCTCTTAACTGAGCCACCTCACTAGTCCATAATTAATAACATTTTTATTACCTGATGTGTAATAAGGGCCCTTTAAACACACTCAGTGGTTTTTTGAAAGCTTTTATCTTTGAATCAACCTTTTCATTTTCATCTGTTTTGGAAGCAGACTCAGGTGGGTTAATCTAAAAATTAAATAAAAATAAAAAAAGATAAAGACAATTTTAATTGGACAGATCGTTAGGTGAACAAACAGAACAAACAGATGCTCTGATTCAACTCAAATTATAGTTTTTAACATGCTTATTACAAGTAAATAATATATTTAACATGACCATGAAAAAATATATATCTTTATAGAATATTATATACAGGACATTCTTGAAAATATAGTCATTCCATTCCCTCAAGACTTTGTTTTAACTTATAACATTTATTAAGCCCTTTGAAATTTGTAAAGAATGACAACTAACAGATCTTTAACAATGAGATAAAGTTCTGACTTTTTTCTAGTTCCCTGTCTAGAACTTGTAAAGCTAATTACTCTTGCCTTTACTTCTCCTTCACATCTCCTATTCATGATTCAAGGACTTTCTTTTCCCCTTAGAGATAAGAGTTATGCAATTGTTTAGATAGACCCACTGAAGGGGGACTCCAATTGCCTCACCCGGCATCCCTGTTCAGCATGGAAGAAGCCAGAGTGGTCTGCGTCCCTATTCCCTATTGGCAATTGGGGTAACCCCTTCAGAGGATGGCGTGATAAGAATAGGAGGTAGGAATTGACTAGGCCGTTAGGGTAAAAAGACCCCAAAGAAGTGTAGCCAGTTTCTGGGCTAAAAGTCAAAATGTCCTTGGGCCTGTCAACAACATACTCTGTTCCAAAGGCCAAAAATGTCAAAAGTATTTGGAAGCTTGTATATAATCCTTAAAAGATTTTAGGGTTACCTCTTCAGAGGGGGGAATGTTGGAGGGGAGGGAGTGGACATGGATTTGATCAAAACACCTTATATGCATGTATAAAATTCTCAATAAAGTTTTTGTAAAAGTTTTAAAAAATGAGATAAAGAAGAAATAGATTAAGGTACAGTTTTAAATTAATCACCTTTATTTTTCTTAAGATTCATAAAAATATTTTTGACAAAAAGTCCTTCCAGGTGTACTCTGCCCATCTTCATACAAAGCATCAACTCAGCTCTTTTTATACCAAAAAAAAAAATGCTAAGTCAATTCTGGTCATGCTTCCTTTTTTAAAGTTATAAATAAAAGACATGGAAGGGTACTAAGTTAGCTGAATTATCTAAAGTCATACAGGCAGGTAATGGTAGAAACAGGGATGCAGTGCTGGGGACTAAAACTCAGGCCCTCCTACGTGCTAGGTAAGTGCTCTATCCTGAGTTCTAGATGACAGCTTGTGATTCAATTTTGTTCATAAAATTACCTTTTTCGGCAGAGCTGGTTGTTCCTCATTAGAAATCATTTCCAGGGTTTCTTTTCCATCACTTTCTATGTCTTCTTTACTTGAGTTTTCATCCTCACTGGTAATTGGCCCATTTTCACACAGTGGTGTCTGGAAATCATCATCTACCAGTGGTGGGTAGCTGTACTTGAAAGGATCCTAAAGTAAAAAGCACTGGTTACCACCCTGTTAGTAATGTGGAGAGAAATAATTCCCTTGTAGTAGATTTAAATTTGTTACTTTGACCAAGAAAAAAAGCTGAATTAGGTAGTGAAATTAAAAAAAAAAAACAGGATTCATTTCAAACTAGAAAGGGAAAGAGACGTAAATAGAGACAATTATGAGTTATTTACCTAAGAAAAGAATCAGATTAGCTCACCCCACACCAAAAAGCTCACATGGTTAAAAACTTTAAATGTAGAGCATATATCTTTGTGTATTTTTTATACCATAAAAGCACTGCAACAAAACAGAAGAGGCTTAAAACCAAATCAAAACACCCTTTAAAAACTCTAACTAGGGAAGATCTTTCTACACATAGCACAAAACACAGGTGGCACAAAAATATGGTACTAAGTTATTGATGTGGCTCAGTGGTAGAGTGCGTGCCTAGTATACATGAGAACTTGGACTAGAACAGCCAAACAAAACAAACCCCAATCAATTAACCAACTAAAACAACAATGCCCTCCCCCCCAAAATCCCCCCAAAACATGAAGGGCTGGGAGGTGACTACTGGGCAAAGTGCTTTCTGTGCAAGCATGAAGACCTGACTTTAGTTCCCCAACATCCTTGTAAAAAGCCAGGTGTAGCAAATTCTAGCCTGTAATTACAGCACTGAGCATTAGAGACAAGAAGATCCTAGGGGGCTCAGCGGCTAGCTAGTCTGGCTAATCAGTAAGCTACAGGTTGAAAGACAGATTCTGTTTAAAAAAATAAAGTGGAGAGTGACAGGAAGACACCTGATCTGGCCTCCACATGAGCATGCATGGGTATGCACATGTGCACGTACACTCATACACCAACAAATCCAACCAGGCAAAAACAAATACAGGGGCTGGAGAGATGATTCGGCAGTAAAGAAAGCTTACTGCTCTACTAGCGCAGCAGAGTTCAGATCCCAGAACCCACATCAGGCAGTTCACAAACCATGTCTAATCATCTCCAAGGGATATAATTCCTCCTTTTGACCTCCATGGGCACCTACACGTATACATATAAACACACAGACACACACAGACACACGCACACACAGACATCTTAAACACAAATCAACAACAACAAAAGAACTGGGCATGGTGTTACATGCCTGTAATTTCAGTATTTTGGAGACTCAATCAAGAGGATTGGAAGTTTAGGGCAAGCCTAGGGTACATGAGACCCTGCTTCAAGAAACAAACAATATCCCTCCCCCCAAAATCCAAAACACAACCCCCCCAAAAAAAACAAAATTGAAACTACAATTTTACTTTAGTTGCAAATTAATTATAACATCTGAAATGAACAATGCTTTTTAAGCTAAAATGTAAACTATAACGCCTCTGAATTTTGGTTCAAGCCTCTCCTAATTAAATAAAAACAGAAGGACACATAGACATTTTTATATTACATTACTAGTCCATGGTTCTCTTTGAACACAATTTTGTCAGGCAAGGAAAATATAGCTACAATTGTTTATATTGCTATATAATTGTTTATATAGGTTTTATAGCTTAGGAAAAGTCACTTTCACATTAACTTTCACTACTAGGCAAATACTCAAACTTTCTTTTTGAGACAGGGAATCACCATGTAGTCTAAGCTGGCCTGGAACTTAGAATCCTTCTACTTCAGCCTCCTGAGTGCTGGGATTATGGTATGCACTATCACATCTGGCCACAACATTAAAAATTTCAAACAAAGCCACTTGTCTCCAATCTCTTATTTGCAAATGATAAAATCTAAAATCAGCTCAAAAATTCTTGAGGGCTGGGCAAAAGTGCTTGCCTAGCATGAATGTGGTCCTTGGTCTTGATTTGATCCTCAGTGCATATGCACACATACATACCACACATGCACAGACACACTCACATGGAAAAAAATTCAAAATAACCCCTCTGTGATGGTTTGAATGACAAATGTCACCCATAGGTCGAATACTTGAGGACTTGGCAAGTTGGAAGAAGCTTGGTTTGGGAAAGGTCAGGGAACCTTTAAGAGGTGTGGCTTTGATAAAGGAAGTGTCATTGGGGATAGGCTTTGAATTCATAGCCTTGCCCCACTTCGAGTAGTTTGCTCACTCTGCTTCACGTGTGTGCTTAAAGATGCGAGTGCTTAACTTTCTACTGCAGCTGTCTGCTGCCATGATGGACTCTTAACCCTCTGGAAACATAAGCCAAAATAAACCTTTCCTTCTATAAGTTGCCTTGGTCATGGTGTTTTATCACAGTAACAGAAAAACAACTACTACATTCTCCAAATCTTGACAACATATTCTTAATGATATACGTTAAGTTGAAAAGACTGTTAGATAGGATGAAAATCAAGGACACATCAAAATGAATTCAGTAACTTATGGTTACTGAATGATACAGTACCTGATTAAAAGGATGGGCAGGAGGAAGGTTTATATATGCGTGCATATCTATATCTATATCTATATCTGTATCTATATCTATCTATATCTATATATGTATATTACACATCCCTAGAATCTAAGAAATCCAACTGAAGGCAAAAAGGTGGTTGGAACAAGAGTAGTGAGAGACATTTTACTGAAGACTTGTTTCTGAATACTTTCCAAAATACAGACTATGTTTTAGTTTAGAATCATACAACTATATTACGTCTTCAAAAAGAAATTTAGTGAGCTTTGAAACATGAAAGAAAATTATCTGTACCATTGCTTCATATTTTGGGGTACCTGTGATCTTCCTTTGTGTATTAACATACTGCTTTTCCTTTCTCCTTGAAGAAAACATACAGTGTAATATGCCATGTACCCCATTATCCCATGTCATTCCATAACAGGTTTCAAGGACTATACTTACAGTTCCACCCATGTGGGGAGGTAGGTACTCTACACTTATATAGTCTTGTATTTCATGTTTACTTGTAAACTTCAACAAGCTCACTGCTTCAGGGCCAAGCCAGCTTTTCACGATTTTGAAAGCAGCTGGGGGAAAAAACAATCACTTCATTAAGGTTCCTTTCATGTGCTTGATCAAGTACTTTATTGTATGCACTATCCTGCATCTTTTGAAACCAGTTTCAACTACGACCCTTTACTGTTTTTCTTTATGATGGATGACAATAATTTTTTAATTTCCAAAGGGTTTATGGTGTACATGTCCCTAATAGGTTTCAAATGGTCCATGAAGATTCAGAAAGACTAAACGATGCTGATATTCATTGAGAAACGTATCAGAGTTCTGACCTCTGACCTATCTATCAGTGAACTAAACTATTATGATTTCTAGACACTGAACCTATCTGCAATGTGACTCAGGAAACAACTGAACAGTAATGTGAAGAATCTTCGCCCTTGTGGTTCTGATAAACCGTCAGTATGAAAAATCTTGTGAAAGAGGGGAAAGAGGTGAGGGCCAGATCCAGATTTTCTTCCTGACAAAAAGCTCTGCCTTTTCCTCAGGCCTTGCAGTTTCTATGATCAGGAGGAACTCAGAATCTACAGGAATAAACTTCCCAAACACAGCTATTTGATAACTACAACTGTGTCTTGTGTCATGCCATTTACATTAAATTTTTAAAATTTTATTTTGAATGTGACATTTTATGCACATTTTGAACAAGACTAAAAGCAGAATGCTATGCACATTTTGAAAAGAAATAAAAGCTGAATGCTGCCATAAACATGCACAAATGTCAATGGAAAAAATTAAGAATAGCAAAAACAACACATTCAGAAAATCATGTTTTACTTTGGCCCACCATGATTTAAGCTTTTATTCACATAATTTTTTTCTGGTCTTTTTGAGACAGGGTCTCCCTGTAGCACCAGCTGTCCTGGAATTCACTATGTAGACCAGGCTGGCTTCGAACTCACAGAGATCCTCCTGCCTCTGCCTCCCAAGTGCTAGGATTAAAGGTGTGCGCCACCATGCCCAGCCCTTACATAATATTTAAACTTTAACTAATTTCCATTTCAGAAAGCTTGTGTCTTGACAGGAGTAAAGCCAGGCTATGGGAATTAAATTAAATGTTAAATCTTATTTTTTCATGGCAGTGTTACTGAAATAATTTACAAATGATGCTAGCTGTAGGTTATCATAGATACCCTTAACAGGCCAAGAAAGCTGTTATGTGCAGATAAAAATTAGCCTTATCCAAAGAAAGACCTGGCCTTTGCTCCCAGCTTTTGGCAGGTAGGTCTGCCTCAAGGCCTTGGGAACAAAGATTTAGGGAAGGATCCAGCCATAGTGAAAGACTACCATGTGATTTAAGATGGGAGCACTGGCTCACAGAGAATAGAAGTAGACCTCTGGAGAGACAAGACATTGGGATCAACCACAAGGAAAAAGAGTTATGCCTATATAATGGAGCCCTGAGGCAATGTTTGAATAACAAGGCTTGAACGAAACTTCCTTTATTGGCAATACTCCCTGTGTGCTACCCATACTGATGCTGGCAGAGTGAAGTGCTCCAGAATTGGTACCTCCTTTGACCGATTTTAATCTGAGTCCTTTTTCTGCAATAAGTCACAACTGTCGGCAAAATGGCTTTCACTGAGTTTCAGCAGTCCTACTGAATGATCAAACATGAGAGGCATTTAGAGAACCTTATGAAGTTGTAGAAGGATGGTCTACGTGTGACCGCTAGGCCCCCTTTATCATCTAGTAGTTTCAACACTTAGCACTATCTGTTCCTAATTTAAGTGTTTTTATTATGAGAGGAAATTAATTGTTTTTCAATTTTCTTTCATCTACTGAGAGGATTAAGTAGTTTCTTCTTTCTATCAATATGGTATTGCATATTACATTGATTTTTGTATTCTGAGTCAACTTTGCATTCTTGAGATAAAAGCCTACTTTGCCACGGTTTATAATGCTTTTGGGTGTACATGTGCATATATGCGTTCATGCATGAGGAGAAGAGACAACCTCAGGGTATCATTCCTTTTACCTTGTTTTTCTGAGACAAGCTCTCTCAGTTGCCTGGAGCTTGACTTACTTGCTAGAGAGCCCTAGGGATCTGCCTGTTTATACGTTCCCAGTGCTGGGAGTATAAGGATTTCTCAGTGGCTTTTTTACAGAGGTTCTGGGAATTGAACTCAGGTCACAAGCAATTGATTGACTAAGCCATCTCTGCTGCCTATAATATTTTTTATATTCTTTTAGATCTTGCTTGTTAGTTTTGTTTTTTCTTCCTGTACTGCTAGGGATGGAACCCAGGGAGGCACACATACTAGACAAGTGCTCTACCACTCAGCCATACCCCACCCAGCCCTATTGCTTTCTGATTGGTGCATCTATTATATGGTTGTAATAGGTTACAGTCTGTAGTTTTCTTTTCCTCTGATGTTTTAGTATTAGGTTTATATTTGCCCATATATGAGTTGGGAAATAATTTCTTCTGGTCAATTTCTTTTAAAAATATTTTATTTATTATTTTTATTTTTATGTGTATGAGTGTATTGCTTTGCATGTATGTAAGTGCAATGCATCAGTTCCCCTGGAACTGGAATTATAGGCAGTTGTTAGCTGTCATGTGGATGCTGGGAACTGATTCTGGGTCCTCTGCAAGAGCAGCCAGTGTCCTTAACCATTGAGCCATCTCTCCAGCCCCTTCTGGCCTATTTCTTAGAACTGTTTACAAAGGATTAAGGTTAATTTTTCTTTAACTATTATTTACCAACAAAACTACCAGGGCCTTAACTTTTTTGTGGGAAATTTTTTGGTTACTAGTTCAACTTAGTTATTCTTCTGATTTTTCTTGAGTGAGTTTCAGTAGTGTATAGTTTCAGGAGGTTCACTGCATATAATTGCTCAAAGTACCCCCTTATAATCTATTTCCAAAGAATCAGCAGTGACGTTTTTCAATTCCATGTTTTTAATAATTTAAAGTCTTTACTCTTTTTTTCAATCACCTTTATACCCTCTTCCCCATCAGGCACCCTCCCATAGCACCCCCCATTGGATTTCCTACATTCTCTCATTTATGTTAAGGCATATAAAATTAAGTTAGTGGCCCCTGACATCCCACAGGAGCTCCCTCATGCAACAGAGGGCAATAAGCCCAGGGTTCAGGGACCATCATGGAAGAGGAGGTGGAAAGACTGTAAGAGCCAGGGAAGGAGATGCATGATCATATGGAAATAGAGTCTTACAGGCTCTTGGGACCTTGCTCATATGAATTTACAGCAATGGTGTCAGCATGCACAAGACCCATGCAAACTCAAGCAGACAAAAACCCAGCATAGAACTATGGAAATGGGTGGCAGACCCTAATCTTAGCTGAAGAACTAGTGGACAGGTGAGAACTACTGGGTGTGCAAGAGCTGATCTTTAAGGGAGTGACTCTAGAAAGTCTTTACTCTTTATTAGATTAGGAAAAAGTTTGCTAATGATGAAGAACTTTTCAAAGAACTGAATTTAGTTTAAAGATCTTTCCCTATTGTTTTCTATGTAACAACTGACTTGTGTAAGCACAAAAGAAAATAAACATTTAGAGAATAGAGTTATATTTAAAATCACTTGGTAAAAATTTTTCAATAGTCAATTCAAAAAACTTATTAGAACCGCCCCCCCCCCAAAACCAACCAACCAACCAAACAAAAAAAAAACCTAAACAACTGTCAAAAGGAACATGTGATTATAGTGATTTGAGGTAACTTTCGGATCCCCCACCTTTTTCAACACTTGTAACCCAAGGGAAAACCTAGTTAAGGCAAATATTTTGTAATATACCCTATCTGTGGGTGATGGAATGAGGTTTCTTCTAATTGTTTTATCTGAATGGCTGAATATTTTGTAGCAGTTCTGAGAAAAGTCTAGTGGGAACTCCCAGTATCTTGGACTAGAATGTCAGCCATATTTGCTTAGAAAACAACCTTTGGGTGTTCTGACTCCACCTTCTTAAGAGTACACAAGCACAATAGAAACATTTTCATAAACAGCTGTAGAAACATGGCTAACTTGCCCAAGTAAGACAAATGAAAAAATCAGAATTTTTTTTATTTTGTCTTTTTGAGACTGGTTCTCCCTGCAGCCCCAGTTGGCCTGGAATTCATTATGTAGATCAGGCTGGCCTCCATCTCACAGACAGCCACTTGTCTCTGCTTCCCAGCGTGCTGAAATTAAAGGTGTGCACTACCAAACCCAGGTAAAAATTAGAATGTTTCAGGAAAGCATAATATACTTACCATTCATTATCCAAGGCATATCAAAGATCACCATTTTTGCTGAAAGATGAAAAAAAAATCACTGAATGTGACTTAGTACTTCTACAGTAATATATTACTTTTACTTGACCTAGAAAAAACTTAAATGTGTAAAAATTGGGCTAGTTGGTGGCCGAGTTCTAATTTATGGAACAGTTCTAGGACTGAACAAATATCTCATAATAAGAAGGGGGTCCCAATATTGCACCGTCACTGTCCTTTGGCAAACAGCCCATTCCTTTGTTGACTTGCTGCATTTGCTGCTTGCACAAAGATAGAAAACAGTGAAGAGGGCAAGCAGAGTTTGGATATGGCATGTCATTTCAGTGATGAAAGCAACTGTACTTTTAAAACATTTCCACATCAAATACATGGTTTCATTGGTAGTTGAGATTACACTGTTAAACTTGTCACACAGCTGTCCCCTCCCCAGTTGAATACATAAATTGATTTTAAGAAACGGAAACTATCTTTTCTTAAACGTTATGAGCTCCAGGAAGCCAATAATTCCAAAATATACAGAAATGTTATTTACATACTGAGCTGAAGATATTAAACAGCCCTATCAACAACTGTGAGAAACAACCAGAAACCACAACAGGGATTTTTTGATACCCAATTCATTCTTCTATTCCAAATGAATCAATATGCAGTTTCATTCTTTTCTGAGCAGAGAAACTCGTATAGTGGTCTATTAAACTATGACAAGTAAAGCACACACAAAAAAAACGGTATCAGTAAGAGATGCTATGGCACTTAACTTTCCTCTTTTAGCAGGGCTACACTTAAGATGTAATGGTTGTATTTCATGACAGATTTAAAGGAACAGTCAATTTTAAATTCCATAAAATTCAATGTCTGAAAAACTACATTGCTTTGGCAGAACACAGTCATATCTGAGGTTCACTGAAATGAACAATATTACAATTCATATTTATATGCATCCATGCATTCATTAACAGTTCTTTCCAAATAACTCTGGACATGTTGAATAAATAATGATAGTTATATTGTTCCTATGTGGCTCATTCATAAACTCCTTTACATACTTCAACAAACACGTATTTCAGTTTTATTTTGTCCATAAAAGAAACAAGTTAGTATCATGAAGTAGTAATTCTTCTGTACTGACAACTGACTGGCACTGCTAAAAGACTCAATCTGGGTATGTGCAAGAAACATAAGCACTGGAGACCTTTCAAGTTTCCCAACCTAGACACTATCATTTCCTTAACGGAAGAACATTCACAAATACTCTAAGGAAATTACAGTACAGGGCTGTAGGTGGCACTGACTCTCGATGTCCATTATGCTTTCTGTTACCGTAACAATGAAAACATGTCAAAGTATGATGATTTATGGATTTCTGTGCTTTAGTGTCACCTTAGTCATTAATCCCAAGAGACCCTAATTGTGGCATTTGCCAGGAACATGTACAGGCACATGTACAGGCAACTCTGAATTTCTATTTTTGTTAGCAGGGTTAGCTCTCTTGCCTTTTCATTTTTAACATATTGAAGTTAAGTATTTTTGACTGTTTACATGGGTTGGCAGATTGTTTTTTCCAAGGGGAACCCATTATATAAATTCAACAGATGAAAAATAAGAAAAGGCTTAGGAGTTAATCATTCAGGTAATTAATGGGCATTAGAATTAAAAACAAAACAGGGGATGCTAGCACAGCGGCAGATCACTTGCCTGGCATGCACAAGGCTCTGGGTTCAGTCTTCAGAACATAAGACAACAAAAGAAAACAACCCAAAGCCCTCTGAGTACCAGATTCGAATGTAGTACATTCTGGTTAAGTATTTTCCTAGCGACAATTTTAAAACAGATTAGTTGTACTTTATGTATCAACATTGCTTATCATACAATGTACTTTATCAGTATTGGTTATCTGGGTTTTTTTGTGCAAGAAGCTCCATATAATTATTTTAAATGAATTTCTAAGTTGAACAGTCAGCATGAATGGGCTAATCTCGTAAACAAATGTATATCTGTGTGTGCCTGTGTGTTACATGTTGCAGGATGTTATATATTTTAGAACTTAAATTTGTAAAAACTGTAGAGTCCACTTACTTCTAAAATTTTTCTGTGGACCTACCATGATATGGACTAGTACATCTGTCTATGAACACATTTAAAGCTCTTCAGCAGAAAACAATGTTTCAGATATGAAACTACAGTATAAAGCTCTACAATCTTCAGGTATTATCTACAATTTCAATATATTTTATTTTTATAAAGGAGTAAGTTACTTACAGAGGTATTTAGGGTAATAAACCTTAAAGCAGCTGATGATAAAGCGTACAAAGTCCATGTCCTAAAACAAAGATTAAATCTTTCAGACTGTCCACATTTGAGAACTTTAAATTGTACATGTCTAAAGTTGATAAATCATTAAATCCAAGTGAGACAACTATTAAATTCTCAAAAGATAAGCTACTGTATAAATATCTATATTCCCAAGGATTAAAGTTTTAGGTCATTAAGCTACGAATCAGCCCTAAAATTGAGTTGAAATAGTCAGATGCCTAGTAGTATTTTAAAAATTATTCATAGCATCTCAAACTAGTTATAGGCTTCAGGCTACAAAGGACACAGGGCATACAATGGATATAAAAGCAATCCAAAGAGAAATTCTAAAAATCTACTGAACTAAAGAATTATTTTTAAAAAGTATATAGGTTATAACCTGAGTCCTTGAAATTACACACACAGACACACACACACACACACACACACACACACAGACACTCACACACAAACACATTTTTTGTATAAATTATGGTATAGTAGTTGCTTTCTACATCTAATTTTTACCTTATGAAAGTTTTAGTAAAATACACTGTATTAATTTTTTACCCAATGATTAATCTGATCCCACTGACCTGCTCTATCTACTTCATTTCTGGCCTTTTACCTTTGATTTAGAGGCCTGAGATTAGATTTTTAGTTTCTACTCAAGTGTTGTTCATTCATAGTAATTTTCAGGAGACTTTATAAACAGCTGTTGGTTAGTTCTACTGCTTTGAGCAAAAGAGGAAATTGGGTCATTAAGGATATTATTCACATTTCATTCTGTATTACTTCATGGTCACAGGCTGTGTCATGAAATCCTGATCAGCCGCCTTATAAAAACACTGCTAAAGGAGAGGCCTAACCAGGGAAGCTGAAATTCATCACAATGACTGAAAGGCTGGATATTCTAGACATGAATCTATAAAGTCATTCCTAACATGTGAGCTGCAATAAGTAAACTGAAAGCTGCAGTTTGAGTAGTAAACTGAAAGCATCCTTAACTACTATAACTATTATGGGATAAGTTCTAGTATATAATAATTTCTTTATGAATAACTATTCTAGCCACTATGCACAGTTTCATAGTCCATAGTTAAGAGTTAAAAAAAATGGTTTTAAAAAAAACTAGCTGTATAAATAGCTGGTTACCTAGTTTATAATCTGGAACTGTTCCCTAACATTTTTGTCTTCATGTAATAGTCTTGTTACAATTGTTTATTCAATTGAATGTCCTTGGTCACAGCAGCTTGAGTTACTGCTAAATGAGGTGGATTTGATAGGATGTCTGGTGTATGTCTACCATGGCTACTTCATAGTGCAGTTCCATGAAATTAGTTGCTGTGCAATCTGTAAAGGTGCTTTTCAGGGTATTATTCATTATTGTGTAAAATATCCATCCTCTAAGGACCGACAGAAGATTTGCTCTAGTTCAACTAATGGAGAATGGAGACAGTTCTCCTAAAATATTGATTTTTAAAGTATAGCTATTGCATAATCCAAAGATTCTATTTTTTCAACTAGTAAGAAGCTAAAAGGTTACAGTCACCCTGGTAGTCCAACTCTAAAAAACAACTTTACCTTTTTCCTTATATTCATCTTTATAAGCTGACTTCAATCCTTTGGGAATCAGGAGAGCATCATATAAACAAATTATTCACTAAAGAGTCAAACACTTCATAGCAATAACTGAAATGTTTGGTAGTACAAATAGACTTTACTTACAAATGAAAAGTGGTATCATACAAGTAGCATTTAAACAACAACAACAACAACAACAAAAACCAGATAGCTCTTTTAACTTTCCTGCCCGTGTATTAGGTAAAAGAAAATATTAACATTCGTTTTTCATGATTGTGAGTTATTAATACACAACTATTATACTTCAAGGTTAACAGAATCGTAATCTGTATGAAATGCTGAGTTATCTAGGTAACATAATTTTAATTTAGAATACAACATTTTTTTTACTGTTTAAAATCTGTGTACATTGAACTAGGCTGAAAATCCAAGACATTAGATTTTTTAAAATTAGAGAACTGGAAATGTGGAAAAAGTTCTGTAGTCTCCCGCACCTAAACCTCTTGTTAATAGTTCTTTCTAACCTGTTTTTTTTTTTTTTTTTTTTTTTTTTTTTTTTTTTTTTTTTTTTTTAAAAAAAAGAGGACGATAAATCTTTCACTGACCATATTGTAGTAAAATAGCTCATTTCATTAAAAAAGGCATGCACTAATATTATAAATTCTTCACAAATTCTACCATACATAGCTACATATATGCTATCAACTAGATATACCATAATTTACCATTTTGCAATGCTGGCATTTAAACTTGTTCTAATTTTCCAATATTTTTCTGAGACAAAGTCTCACTATGCCACCCAGTCATCATTGAATTCCTGGGTTTAAAACAACCTTTCTACCTTGGTTTCCTGGGTAGTGGAGACTATACTTGTTTGCCATTGCAACCATCTGTTTATGCTCTAGGGTCAGTAAAAATCACCTGGAGAAAACTGGTTTCCCAAGCTTAACAAATCAAACAGAAAACAAAGCACTCAAGACGAGCACAAAGTGCCGCATGTATAAAACTCACATGCACATCTTGTACCTTCAAAAGAAGATGAATCTAGTGTCATAGAGCTCATACATGTGTTGGTTCAAGATTTATTGACAGTGCTTCTCTGTGCCAGACACAGGAGCTGGTGCTGTAGGGTATCAGCCATGGTAGAAAAGGTCAGTCTGATTATAGTGACTCATACCCTGCCAGTCTTGCTGTCTCACCACTCCATCTTACACATCAGACAGGGAACATTTCTAGCAAATCTAGTGTCAGGGTCAAATACTGAAGCGAGTTTAATTCTCTGCAAACCCTATTGCATGTTTGACCTCACAGTGCAAGGGGGAAAAATAATCTGTTAAATAATTCTGTTAGCTTCATTTTACAACAGTATTTGTTTGGCAAGAAAGACAGGAAAGGAGGCAGAAGCCAGGATAGATTCCAAGTTAGGATTAATAAAGAATGCTTACTATGTTGTTCAGCCCAGTTTCTGACAGGTCAAACATCACTGTTATAGGCTTCCCATTTTCTCTCTTGGCATAACGTTCCAACCAGAATGCTATGAGCTTCTTCTTGTCCATTGTGGTTTTCTGGTCTTTTATATGATACTTCGCCCTGATCCAGACTTTAAGCAGAACAAAAGATAAAAGTAAGCATATGAGGTACAGCATTTTCATACTATATTTTATATATAGCCTTTCCCTTGCCATGTTCCTTTATTTATAATTCAACTTGTTCCACAGAATAAAAACATCTCTTCCTTCTTTAAAAGAAGAAGTAGGTACGCTTGGGACCTTTACATTAAATAGCAGAGAGGCAAACTATCTCTTTCCTGTAGGAAATAATGTTCACTTTTAAGGTGAAAAAGAAAATGCAGGTGAACAAATACTGCTAATAACCTAAAAGTGCTCTTCACTGTGCTTAATAAGGAAAGCTCATGATCAAACACTAGAAAACCCGTTCCGTCCAGAGGAGAGATACTGACAGGCAGGAGGGAAGCCTGGGATGGGGCTGTACAGGAAGCTGGAAAACGCAAACCCTTCAGCAGCTAAGACAAAAAGCAGAGTGGTAAGAGGGAAGCTGAACAGAGAGAGGCTGGGCTAAAGGACGCTGAAGTGCTAAGCCATTTTAGTTTTCCTATTTCAAAACAGAGTTTGGGTGGTGTAATAGAGGAGAGAGTGGAAGAGACAAGGATGGAAACCCATCATGCCAGGGACTGGGAAGGGACTGAGAACAGGGCAACAGGGGTAGACAGCGACAGAGCTGAGAAAGTGGCTGGTGAAGATGGAGAAGGGGCCCAAATGAAGCGAGATTAGAGGGAGAGTCAATGAATGGACCGGAGCTGGGCAATACAGGGAGAGGGCAAATAGCATGGCATGAGTGCAAGTTGTAGGTCGTGGGGAAGGCAGCTGGCAGTCAAGTGGCACCAGCTGGTGCACAGATGGGTACGTGCACGTAGCTCAGGGATTGCATGGGATCTTGTAGTGAACTAGGAGGTGGCCAAAGCTGATGTGTTTGAGACAACCCCATGGTACCCATGGTACAAGAGGCCAAGGAAAGAATGTGGGCTGGCAAACGTGTTTCAGAGGCAAACCACAGAAGAGGTATGAGAAAAGACAGCAAACGAGGCAGAGATGAGGAAAATGCAGTGTATTGTCAAAATACAGTGCAGACTGCAAGCTAAAGAAAAAGCAAGCAAGATGTGCATAGCACCTCCCACCCTCAGCACAAACCCAAGCTGGATTTGGGCAAGTGGGAAGGAGGACAGGAAGAGTCTTCGAACAGCGGGTGACTGCTACTCTTCTTCCCACTACTATGCACATTCTGACAAAGCTAAAAGGAGACCATCAGAGTATTTAGCAAGTTCCCAAAGATTCTCTGTAAAAATACTAGGTGGAATGCTAGCAACAACTCAGAAAGAAGATGCCTGAGTGAAGTAACTTTGGCTGTGATACAGGATGCAGCCTCTGTGTTTACAGCCTAATTTATTAAAAAGCAAATTATGCCCAACTACTAAGCAGAGGTCAAGATGGCCACATATCACTAATTCCACAAACCTTGCTGTGTGTACATATGGAGAAAGTTCTGTTCATTATTAATGCAACTAAGACACAGACCTACATTTCAAACTCATGAAAAGCCAATACATGAATTAAATATACTTACATAGTTTGTTACCTTCTTTGTCATAACCATGGAGATAAACACAACCAATCTCTAGTAACCATCTGGGAATGGAGGATTCACTAAGGTCTAAAAAGTGATAAACTTTAATCAGTAATTATATTTATGAACCTAAAATTCATACTGTAAAGGTAATGTTATATAGTGTTCTGATATCACTGACTCAAACCTGAAGACACGACTTACTTAAATCTTGAAGAAAATGCAGCTTTTTAAAAAATCTACAGTCTTTGATAATACAAAATGCAGTTTCCTACAGAGAAAACAAATCGTAAGACATTCACAGATGATAGACAAAATGAAAAAACTCCATTTCCTTTGACGTGTCAGTCATTATTTATGTGGATACCTTTTTATATTCTGGTTGGGTTTTGTACAAGGACTTGACTTGCCAACAAATATTAGCACTGCTAGACAATTTCAAGACAATACTGTAGGAGGTCTGAGTAGAGTGCAGTGGTAGGATACATGTTTAGGACACATGAAGTCCTGGATTCAATCCCCAGTCCCCACCCACAACAGAAGATAGCCACATTATTAAACAGTCACACGGCTTCAGAATTTGTGAGGAAAGAAAAAACAACTTGTGGTTTTTCTATCAAGTTGGTCTCTCCCCGCCCCCATCTCCCTCTCCCTCTCCCTTTCCCTCTGTGTGTGTGTGTGTGTGTGTGTGTGTGTGTGTGTGTGCGCGCGCGCGCGCGCGTATGTCTACTCAGGGGCTGACATCAGGTATCTTCCTCTGTTACTTTTACGCTGGCTAGCCTTCAGGCCTCAGGGAGCCTCCTGTCTCTACTTCCTCGGTGCTTAGATTACAGGTTCATGCTGCATTATGTGGCTTTTCTGTGGGTACTGGAGATCCAAACTTAGATCCTCATCTTGACAGCAAGCACTTTACCAACTGAGTCATCTCCTGAGTCCCAAGGTGGGACAAAGTTTGACAGTAATCTCTAATATATTCAGAGTGCGTGGAAAACGTGAAGGTTCTTTAGTAGGAGGAACAAACAACAGGCCCAACCAGTCTCCAGGAGAGGCTGAGGACAAATATGGCAAGGCAGCACAGGCCAAGGCTTTTGTTTCATTGCCCAGCTGCTCCTGGAGAACTCAAAGACTTCCCTCTCACTCTCTGCCTTTCTCAGACTTTTATTGTTTGTCACTTGAAACTAGCAATCTAGGCAAGAATATCAGTAGTGTTGAGTTTTAAGTTTCTTTTGAAAAATAGTTTATTCTGTAAATGACTTAGAAGTTGCAGAATTGTATTTTCTTGATTGGTAAGTGCTTTTCTGCTTCAATTACGTAGTTTTTACATTTTCAACCACTATTTCTTTAGATCTTAGGCATTCCCTTCCTTGTGGATTCCTTCTACAAGTACCAAGACTGGGAAAATAGCAGCTCTAGATCTGTTCACTGTTTTGTATCAAGTCTTCAGACTAAGTCACTCCAGAGTTTATAATCTATGGCAGGCAATCTTTTAGAGGAAGCTGCAATCGGCAGTTGTTGTTAAATTTTTAGGAGGAGACAGACAACAGGTCACCTTTCCTGTGCAGAGTTCTTCACATACTTGAAGACCACTATAAACTCCCTCTAAGATTTAAAACTCCCATTTGGGTGACAAATTTCAATCCAGTAGTGACTTTAAATTTAAGAAGCTACGAGAAGGCTGCCACAGCTTTTCCTGAGGATGAGCTTCCTTTCTGGGATCCTCATTCAGTTCTGGAGCACCCGTAAGCACAAGCAATGCTGGGGATATGGCAAGATTTGGGCAACAACTGAGGAAAACAGGACAACAACACCTCCTTATTCCCAGGAGTTACTGAAAATGCCATCTTGCTGCTGTTCAATGGGATCGAGCCAACACACAGAAGACAATGCAGTGAACAAGGTCATTCTGCTCCCTGGTGATCTGATTTTCTTATGAGTGAGCCAGCCTAGAAAGACTTCTCACAAGCTCTACCTTTGAGACTATGATTGGACCTCTGAAATATTCTAGTATTTATGATGACTGCTAAGAATATGTGCAAATACAGAGTAAGATAAGTGGAAAAAAGTCACATTTATACAGGTGCTAAAATCCTGTCAGCTTAAAAAGAGCAGCTTACCATTGACAGAAAATTCTTTCCTCCATTGAAAACTCTCATCAAGCATCTTCAGGGTTTCATCTATAACATTATGCCTCCAGCATAAGTAACTTTCAACCCAGTTATCATCTTGTTGCAGCCTTTCAACATCACGTGGATCATATTTATCTGACTTATCTAGGGGAAAAACAGAAGTGAACACCGAAATCAGATTATTTCTGCAGTGAAAAATAATTAATGGCAAAAGAAGAGAAAGACCTGGAGGACAAAACCATAATTTTTCCAGACAGACATAGGGGTGTTTTTCATGTGAAAATGCAATCTAAAGAACTGATGGAATTCTTAAGTGAGAGAAAAATAAAGTTATCTAAAGACTACAGATCTTTTTTCTTTGAGACGTTGACTCATTTAACTGTCCAGAGTGACTTCGAATTCTTCAGGCTTAAGTGATCCTCGTGCCTCAGTCCTCCTTGAAGCTGGTTCTACAGCTGTGGGCCACTGTACCTGGTCGAAAGCGTCATTTATAAAGCCAAACATCAAACAGAAAACTGGCCTTCTAGGAGTGTTTGCTATTGTTCTGTTCCTGTGACAAAACCAACTAAGGGAGGAATGATTTTGTGTGTACGATGGAGTGGTCTCTAATTCACAGTCAGTCAACCTCAGTCTCCCTAGTACTGAGATTATAGATGTTCACCACCAGGACTGGCTGAGGAAGGATTGATTTAGCTGCAAGGTTTCAGAGCTTGCAGCCATGCCAGCTGGCTCTATTACTTCTGGGCCTGTGATGAGGTCAAACGTCATGGGAGATGGTATGACTGAAGATATTCTGCCTTGCATGCTGTTCTCACTATTTTAAGTGAATTCTTGTTTCCATGCAACCATCCCTACACACCCAAATTCTACCATTTTGCAACACTCCTTTCAGATACTTCCTCTTTTGCAAAAAACTTCCAGATGACAGCAACAGAACTTCACCTAAGTTTTCTTTAAGGCACTCACCAATTTTCACCTTGAGTTATAGTTACTAGTATACATGCCATGTTTACCATAAAGACAGTAAAGGCTGAGTTTGTACATCCCCAAAGTTCTCCAAAGTAGATGACAACAGAGCCTATGAAAAGGCTTCAGTAACTATTTGCTGACAGACTCCATTCTGTCTCAGTTTTTCATTCTTCAGCTATCCATACCCTTCCATGAGCTGAAGCAGAAAGTTCTGGAAATTTTCCTGGCTCCTTCGTCTCCTTCTCTTGCACATGTATTTAACTGCTGAGTCACACAGTGTCTACCTGCTCTCCATTTCCACTGCCTGTGTTTTGGGGCCTCTGAGATAACAGCTGAAAGGACAGGAAAATGTAAACTGCATTCAGCCAATTATCCTCTGAGTCTCCATTTCTTGATTTTTAAGCTGTTTTATATACTCTGAGGGCTGCATGAGAAACAGATGAAAAAGAGTACCAAAGTGCTCAGAAATTTAAAATGCTACAAAATAGGAGCTCAGAAATCACACACTGGTTGAATGTCATCGTGGGTATAGGTTAATATACGGGCTCTATATTTCTAATATAGAAAATGAGTGTTTCTATACTATTTAAACATAGGAAATTACTTTAGTTCTGTAGTTTGAAAATGCATCAGCATTCCAAGCACAGTTTTTTCAATTATAAATGACATTTGTAAGTATACGCTGTATGTAACAGAGTTCACATAGCTTTCCGTTCCTAAAGAGGGAACATTTAGCTGCTCAGTGGACCAAGCAGTTATTTCCTTTGAAATTGTAAGCAGAATTCATCCATTTTCAAGAAAATTTCTGCCAAATACCCAAATTTGCATAACCATACTGTTAGTTCTTCTAAATACAACAGGTGGCTGATGAGAAATGTGATGAATTTAGCGGGCTGCTGAACATGCTTAACATGTAGAAATCAAGATTCTATGGGTGTTTTCTGATTTTCTCATACAGAACATGAAAGGGACATGTCTTCAAAGGTCAAGATTTAATGAACTCTACTGTACCATTAGGGATGTTCTAAAATATACCTGGCTTCTCTTTCCTTCTCATTGATAATGAAGACCACAATGATGCCTTGCCTTGGGTCATAGTTGGCACTTTTCCCCAACACTGCTCCCATATAATTACACAAACGTCAACACAATGAAATAGGCAAATGATATCTTACAATTACTATGAAAACTGTTTTCACCTGACCAGACTTCTGGAACAGTCTTGGGTATCCCATAGGGTCCCAGACTACACTGAAATGTACTTTCCTAGAATAATATTTGGCAAATGATACAAACTCGGGAAAATTAGCCATAAGAAAAATAAAACATTATTGTTACCATTATAGCTAATTCTATTACTAGGAATAACAAGAGAGTGCCCATTCCTAAGAAATTTAAAGCCTTCCACCCTTCAGTAGCTTTCAAGGATGATTTCTGAAATTAGACATCTTCACTTAATAGAATTATCATTAATAGACATGTTATTTACATAGGGAATATTTTTAACTATGCCTAAACAGGTAGAAATGAGATCAAGTAAGGAGAAAAGAAATGAGAAAGAGCTAACTAGAGATGGGGGCAGTTTGGATCTGGGAGAGGCAGAAGGTGATAAAAAAAAGGATAGAGAGGAAGGAATGACAGGAGGAGAAAAGAACACATCAGACAGTAAGAGAAAAGAGAAAGGTGGAGGGGGTAAAGGCAGAGGAAGTGGAAAGAACAAGAATAGAGTGAATGGTTGGCATTCAGTGCTTAGGATCACAGGGCTAAGGCGCCATTACTAAATTACATAGGACAACAAAATCTGCTGGATTAAAAATTAATTAACGAATTAAATTATTGTATGGTGGGGTGGTCAGAGGAAAACTTTGGGGGGTCAGCTCTCTCCTTCCAACATTTGTATCTCAGGGATTGAACTTAAGTTTTCTAGGCTCAGCAGCAGGTACCCTCACCAACTGAACGATCCCTCCACTCCCAAATTTACCATTTTCATACATGGGCTTCAGAAAAATGAGCCCTTAAGGGATTGGGATCTTTCAGAAAAATCAGTCTTTAGGTAAGTCCAGATGTGCTGTGGTTTGTTTAGGTTCCTCCCAAAATTTCATAGTATTAAGAGGTGGGGCTTTTAAGAGTTGATTAGGCCTTAAGGGCTTCTCTCATTAATGGGAGTAAGGCTCTTTGATGAGGATTATGCAAGGAAGACTTGCTAGTCAGCTTTTCTGGCTGCCATGTAAAGATGCAGCAGAAAAGCCCTCATCAGATACAATGCTAGAGCCTTAATCTTGGACTTTCCAGCATCTAGACTCGAAAGAAAACAAATTTCAGTTCCTTATATATTATCTACCCTCAGATACTTTGTTATAGTAGCACAAAACACACTAAGATGTTAAAGGAAATGAAAGATGTACATTTAAAAGGGCTGGAGAGCTAGCTCAGCAGTTAAGAACACTTGCTGTTCTTCCAGAGGACCTGGGTTCGATTCCCTGCACCCGTATGGTGGCTAACAACAGTCCATAACTAACTCCAGTCCCAGTGGATGTGGCAGCCTCTTCTGGTCTCTGCAGGGCATTTCACACACATGATGCACTTACACGCAGGCAAAACACTCATACACATAAAGTAAAAATAAACATAAAGAAATATGTATATATAAAAGCATAAATATACACCTAAAACATTTTAAAAGGTGTTACCCATTAATCCTTTTTACTTTCATCTTGCTTGGGACCAGTGAAAACTCCATCACAAAGCAAGATTCATGTTTTTTGCAGTTTCTAAACCTTGTCTCAAATTTCTTTACAACAATCCATTTCAGCAGCTCTTCTGTTAGGGGACTTTCTTAATGAGCCATCAACACACCACACCTATCTTTTCTTGGCCATTTTAACTATTTCTTATATGAATTTTGGTCTGTAAACTGTTCTTAAATTAATACAAGTGTTTCACTATTAAATACATTGTAAAGTCTATAATTTTGCAGAGAAAGAATTGAAGACTACAATGGTGCGTCACCTCAAGGAGCTCCGTATTAAATATTCCAGGATGAAAGTGATTTCTCTCACTCCTTTTTTTTTATTTTAAATTTTTTTTTACAATTAAAGTTACAGTTTTAACAATATACAAAATATTACAGTAATTCAGATTTTTTGGCATAATGATTACAGATTTGATAAATACATTTTATATCTCATAATAGCAATGAAGATTATACAAAAGCTATTAAAACAATTATAAAAATAAATTCAATTGTCACTTAAGTATCTAAAGCTATTTTCCTTTGCATTCTTCCAGAATGATTTGTTCTTATTCTTTACCTTAATTTGAGGGACTTCAAAAAGATACTTGGTGTTTTTTTTTTTTTTTCATCCAAAAAAATTCATTCCAAGGAAATTGACATTGAGACGTTTTCACATGCATTTCTAATCTCTATATCCATGAATACCACTGGTCACAGTCACCCACCTCCTGAGCTCCTCGGCATCTGAGCATGAATACAAATTCGTCAGATAGACAGCCTTCTTCTCCCACTAGAGCCTCCAAACTCTGTCATCCCTGTCACTGTCCACTGTGCTGTCAGCACCCCCATCCATTCCCCCCTATCTGCCCTTCTGGTAAATCTAGTCAGCCAGAGGTCCCTGTTCCAGGAGGATCAGCTGTTCCTCATCGTAGTATGTTGGGTTACTGTCTGGAAGAGCCTTTATCTATCCTGGCCAACAACTTGACTGAAGGTATCGCCTGTCTGGCTTTGTTGTTTGTTGAGTAACTTTGTATATACATGTATGCTCCTATGATATTATGTTGGCCCCTTTAATCTTTGGTTATACTTCCCTTTTGGGTGTTTAAGGACATACAATTGGACCAGATAAACTGATTTGTTTTTACTCTTGAGGTCGTTAGAGGATCTGTTCCTCAGGGGTCCCATGGGTTTGGGAGGAGCCCCTGGCTCCTTTCTTTTACCAGTTCCATCTATGTGAAGATAAGACAAAGGTCCTGCTCGACCACTGTTGGCTTCTCTTGGAAGCATGGAGGAAATGATTCTTCCGTGTTGACCCTCCTCTTTATAGATTGGACACTGGTTCAAGTCCATCTGGTGGGGTCTCCTTGGATTTCTCTCACTCCTTTTAAATCTCTCTTCTCTGGGCTAAGGAGATGGCTCAGCGATTAAGAGCACTGGCTGT